AGGGACAGCCAAAAAGCGGCACCCACGTTGACACCTACCATAGCTTCAGCGTCCCCCTCCTCTCTGCCCCTCTGCTCCGCCCCACTGCCCTCCTCCGCTCCGCTTCCCCCCTCCCCTCTCCCAGTTCCCCCTCCCCTCCCTCCCCCCGTCCCTGAGAGCCCACGCCCATGGCTGCTCCCCCGGCGCCTGGGGAAGTGGGGGGGAGGGGGGGGAGAGAGGAGAGGACCGAAAGGGCGAAAGGATAGAAACTAGTGAACATGGGTAGTGAAGTGCCTAAGAGCGCACGCCCATGGCTGCTCCCCCGGCACTAGGTGGGAGGTGGGGGGGAGGAGAGAGGAGAGGACGGAAAGGGGAGAAGGATACAAAATGGATGAAGGGAGAGGTGGAGAGGAGTAAATGGGGGAGGAGGAATCAAGGGAGGGGGAATCGGGGAGGGTGGGAGTAGGGGAGAAAAGAAGAGGGGCAGGAGTAAGGGATTCACACCAGAGGTAGAAAAAATAATGATCGGATGAGTGCAGAGCCCAAGCGATGCTTCACATGTGGAGCCAAACAACGCCGTTCACACGGGGACTCACCTGCACACACTACAGCAGCCGCCTCTCCCAGATACTGACAAAATCTGCCGCCCTTCCTCCACCCCTTTCCCCCATCCCCTCCGCCCAATCGCCCCCCATTCCTCCCCCGCAGTTCCCATCAGTGTACTTGGTCGTGCGCCAGGGGGAAGAGGGGGAAGCGGATGGATGGGGGCTGTCTTCTTCGTTTGTAGAGGCTCTGATAAAGCTCGGTGCCCCGCATGCCCTGTACCTGTGGGAACGGGAACAATTGGCAGGAGGACCTACGTCGAAACCAATAATGATGGGTTCATGACGGGTCCTTGCTTGCGTAGCATTAGTAGCCTCTGTCTGTAGCTTCCGCAATCACGTGTATCGGTGCCGTGTGACGCGCTATTCGAATCAGACAACACCGGTGGCGCAAATGATTGTGTGTGAAGGGCGGGCAGTATGTGAGAGAGCTTGCATAGTGCTCAGAGCTGAAGGTGCTTGAAGGTATGGAATGGCATAGTACGCGTACGCACTAAGGAGCAATAGCTCTGGAATCAAGCTCAAAATGCAGTAGGACAAACCAATGATAATTATTGCACACTATAATCAATCACCCTAAGGTCTTACTAGTAATATAGAAAGTTGCTGCGTTGTTTCTTGAGGCATCAAAATCCTATGCGGAGGAATTGACCATACTGCGTTTCAACTTGAGAAACGGGCCGAATGATAAATTTAATTAGCAACGTACACGGCACATAGTGGCAGCCAGCAAACTCGCAGCAGGCAATCTTAAGCGCAAGCAAGCTTGCAACTCTGTTCCATCGCTTGCAACAAGTAAAGACGGGCATTCACACAAATTGCAGAGATTTCATGGCTCTGACGTAGAGATGCTGCACTGCCACAGTGAGTAACAGACACTTGGTTGCACCCTGTGATCAGGAAGATGGTGTCACCAAACAGCTAAGTCAGGGGTTTCTCAACATCAGCAGCAGGGTCGGGAACCTTATTCTTCTTCGCACTGTAGCATAGGAGGATAATCCTCACGGTGCCAAGGAGGATTATCAGAATGCTGGAGACAATGAGCAACCAGCCCCACCACGTAAGATATGTTGTAGTCCCTCCAGTAGGTTGGGAAGGACACACAGAAATACGGCACTCGCCACCCTTGTACATTTTACCTGGTATGATGCATTAGGCAGACGGGAGAAGAACAGGAGAAGAACAGGGAATGTCAGAGTGTGTTGTTTTTCTTCGAAATGACACACAGCATACAGCAGTTGGGTGCAAGCAGTGGACCACCGAATGCCTCAGCCAATGCACACCGTAAGTGAGCGATGCGATCACAAGCCAGAATCACCAATTTCTAACCAACAACATATCGAGACTTACCATTGGTACCAGTTTCGATGTCGATCTGATCAACCCAATTGGGCTGGAAGCTATAAGCGCAGCCACCAGTATTTTGGACGCGCACAGCTGCAGTGAACGAGTTGAAGTGTCATGCAATGTTGGTGATGCGGTCAGATGAGATCCATCGAGGTCCAATGCGGTCCATATACATGAGGAGAAAGGGGTGTGGCGAAGAGGGAGGAGGAATAAGGAAATCGGAAGTTGCATTTCGAGCAGAGAGCAAAGGGAGGAGCAGAAAGCAAAGAGAAATGGACAATTCGAGCCTTTTCTAACGAAGGCGCCAGAAACGCCAAGTTTTGGTTTCTCCACCTTGTCACCGAGAAGAGTAACTAACCCGCGACCTTGGGCGATGATCCATCTGGCAGGTGAAACAAGAACGCGCAATGCTCTTGTGAATCTGAATCGTCACACGGAGTTACATACCTCACAATCATTGGCGCAGATTTGGCTGTGCGCTGTCTTTGACACTTTCTGTGGGTTGCACAGCGAGACACAGTCGTTCTCAGTGGCGGCTAATACGCCGCAGCGCGCGACGACTGTGAAAATAGCAGCAACCATTACTAGGCTCCTCATTGTGGGGGAAACAAACGACATGGCTTCGAAAGGTGCAGTTGAGGTATCAACCAGTCAGCCTGATTGATAGTATCAATTATGCAGCCTGATATATAACTATATGAGAACGCTGAACGAAAAGACAATGACCACTACTAGTAGACTCAGGTGTTTATGCTATGGGCAGTCCAGCCGAGGAACCTCGCGCGGGCGAGCCGCGTCGCGACGCAGGGGAATCGCGGCCAGGAACAACAGAGTCGGCGCTCACCTCATCCTTCGATTCAAGGAAAATGCTCCTCCTGATCCTTATCCTTATCCCATCGAACCCGGACGCGTCAGAACGAATATAACGCCGCGCTACCCCATTGGGGCGCAGCGGAGGCCCTAAACCCTTACGTGTAAGCCCCACAGCCCCACAGGCGTTACACCGAATCAGCTTGCATAGTACGGCCGGTGTGTGAGGTGTGCATTGCTCTGGGGAGAACATGCTTGCGGTTCGGGTGGAGTGGCGACACAGGTGCGCGGCGGGCAGAAAATAAAAACGCAGAAAAGTCGGCAGTACCTACGTCCACGCCGCAATGGGTGATCCATAATGGGTCCTTGCTTCGATAGCAGTTATTCTAAGGGTTTCATGCGATGTAACTCGCCGAAAGACGGATTGCTACAGTAGTCTTGTCTGCCGTATCTGTAGTCGCGGTGTGACGCGTGTACTGAAGCCATTGGCGTAAACAGCGTGAGTGAATAAGCGGCGAGTGAGCTTGCTTGGGGTTTACAGAGCCGAGGGTATCGAGGTGTGGAAGGGGTTGCAAGCTGACGCGCTAAGGAGCATTAAGCTTTGAAAACAAGCGCTACATGCTGTATGACAAATGAATGGTGATCGCCAATTACCCCAATACCTTGCATTATTTTTTCCGGCACAACACCCTATGTGTACCAATCAGCATCAGCCATTTTGCATGCTCCAATAAAAAAGCCATCATCTGATGACATCCGTGCACACGCCGATAGCATGAGCACCCCATTGCTCTCATATTGAGATGCTGCACTGCAACTACGAGGCTGTGACAGGCGCCACCACCATCAACAAAACAAAACACAGCGTGTGCAGAAAAAAGACACTGTTCTATAACCACCACTAGCCGCCGGTGAAATATGTTTTGGATTATGTAACTGACAGACAGGCCTCTGGATAGGATTTGGGGCACTCTTACTCGCAAGGCCAGTTCGCTGAAGTCGGTCTTTCAGTTAGGGTGGGTTAGGCATGTCAGTCTGTTTTATCAGTGTCAGCTGGAAATGTACTCTTGCTCATCAGTGTGCACGTTTTCACCCTTTCATATTTAGATTAAAGCGTAGATTACATATAAAAGAATGCACAACTAACAGAGCAACTAGAGCACCAGCGCCTGGTTCTAACAGAATAAGCTTAGTAGTGAGCACACAAGCCAATACGGTATAGAAACTCCTGAGCAGGGCGGCGCTTCTTGTTAGCATTGAACATTTCTACCGTATGCATGAGCCCTGCGAGTGAAACTCAACTTAGGTTGCCGCCACTTCTGACGTGCCGAACCGGAACCAGATTTCAGCTACTTCTTGGCGGCAGAGTCGTCAGCAGCAGCGGTATTCTCCGTTACATGTGTTGTCGCTTTTCGTGGTGCTAGTTCAGGCGTCGTGGTGCAGGTCACACCCCGCTTCATCCAGCGCGGTCTCAGCCTCAATAGAGGCGACGACGGGCTCTGGTTCAAGCAGCCGCTTAGTAGGCCCTGTTAAAAAGCCAAGGCCCGTTCGTGAGGGTGAGTGCTGGACCTGACGACGTGCCTCGTTGTCATCTTCACCGCTGGCGTCAACAGCCATGACGAGGGACTTGGAGGTAGATGCTGGAGCTATGCCTATGATAGAACATGAACACCCTTGATGAATGAAATGGACCTTAGATGTGCAAACCTTAGATGAGACCACGAGGAGGAAAACTAGATGAATGAAATGAACTGACTGGGTTGGGGTTGGGTGAGAGTGGCTGGTCAGTGGGTAGGGGTTTGGTGGAGAGGAAGGGACCAAGCAGGACTCTCATGCACGATGGACACCTATGTGGCGCTGCGCATCACCGCCAGGTTGGCAAAATGCAAGTGATACGGGTACAGTTGGCGGGATTGTGGCTGTGGCGACGCGCAACTCTGGTGACTGGGGCAAATCACTGCTCATCGCGGCAGGAATCACGTCAGTGAACCAACCCCCCACCCACCCTCCCTCCCCCCCCCCCCCGAAAAATTCGCATCAGGGTGGTACCCAACACTACTAACTGTCATCAGGGCGAGTACACCAGGTCGGTCTGAAATATCAGTGTTACACAGAAAAACACTTTTTCTTGTAAGGGCGCCCTAAAATATGACTCTGTAAAATAAGGGTGAGCACCTAAACCCACCCTTATAGTAAGGGCTATAAGGGTGATTCACCCTGATATCCAGAGGCCAGCTGACAGACAAAGCAAGTGCGTTCCAATTATGCATAGTAGTTAAGACTACCCTTCTTCTTAGCCTGCGCTTGAATAGTTCCTTCATTGAAGTCTTCATGTGTCACCTGTAAACAAACCAAACACAAAAAAACCGACTAATTAGCAAAACACGACCTAACAAAGGACGGCATGCGGCACTGCGCACGTTCAGTCACAGAGGACAAGCAACGCAACGTATGCATGTCGACAATAAATGTTCCTCAAAACTATCATCACCTCGGTGGCATCGCGGCGGAGAGCAAGCATGCCAGCCTCTACACGGACAGCCTTGAGTTGAGCTCCATTGAAATCATCTGTTGACCGCGCCAGCTCCTCAAAATTCACATCCGGGTGAACGTTCATTTTCCGTGAGTGGATCTGACAGCGAGGGAGGGAGCAGGGGTTAGAGACAGAGGTAGGGGGTTGACCGAGCTAGCTCCTCGGAATCCACATCCAGGGTGTACGTTCATTTTCCGTGAGTGGATCTGACAGAGAGGGGGGGAGAGGCAGAGACGCACAGAATGTGATCTGTTGACCACGGTGGCCCCTAAAGGTTCAAATCTGCCTGCATGATCTTCCTATGCAAATATATCTGACAGGAAGGAACGAGCCTGAGTTTCTGAAGGACTCAAGCTGAGACCTCCTCTGTGGGAAATGGAAACCCACTGATCCCAAGGCTCGCCTCACCTAGCTTGCACTCACACAACTACACCTCACACACAAGCGCGCAATTTCTTGCACTCACCTCACCTGCAGGATGCGAGCCCGGGCCTCCTCGGTGGGGTGAGGGAACTCAATCTTCCTGTCCAGCCGCCCCGAGCGCATGAGAGCCGGGTCGAGGATGTCGGCTCGGTTCATGGCTGCCATGATGTGAATGGGTCGAATGGGGTGAATGGGTGTGGATGTGGGTGAATGGGGGTGAATGGGGTGAATGGGTGTGCATGTGGGTGGATGGGGTGGGGGTGAGAGGGATGAGGGGCAGGAAGGCCTGAGTTGCCCCAAGCGCAATGAGACTGGCCAGAGCAGGGTTGAGGATGTCAGCAAGTGAGCATGATCATTGGTGTGCTTGAAACTCATCTCACCTTGATTCTGTCGTCACTGCTGAAACCATCCAGCTGACTCAGCAGCTCCAGCATCGTTCGCTGAGGGGGGAAATATGGGGAGTGGGCATAGAGCAAGTGGGTCAAACAGTGCCAAACAGCATCGCCTACCCACCACCCACCTGTAGAATCGCTTGGTGCCGTGTGTCGAGAATGAGGTAGCTGTCCTTGTTCACGCCCACCAGGTCGCCCGGCTTCAGCGCGTCCGCGTCCACGAGACCCACGACACGAGCCCCACGCACTGCTGCATTACGTCTTTTGAGACGCGAGACTTTTGTCACGCGCTTCAGGAACGTACCCTTATTTGCATCCTGTGATCAGGGCGATGGTGTCACCAAACAGCCATGTCAGGCTTGTTCAACGCTAGCTGGAACTACGTTCCAGCTGTGCAGCTACGTTCTTCACGGCAGCTTCCACGTCGGCAGCTTTGGGAACTTCAACCTCAATGGTCACGTTGGGGTTGCAGCACCACCGGATGATACTTAATGTGAGGGCAACGAGGAACACCAGAATGGAGATGGCAATGAGCAGCCACTTCCACCACACAAGAGCACATGACGTAGGGCATTGGTGACCAGTGTACACTTTACCTGGTGGTGGTTCATGCAAGAGGCGAAAGGGAGGAAGAACAGGATAATTCCAAACAAAAAGTGAGTGTGTTTTTATTGATTGAGATGCCACGCCGTATAAAGCAGTTGGGTGCAAGCAGCATGAATGGGTCACCAAAGGCCTCAATCAACGCCCACCACCATTAGTGAATTGATGTGATACGAGCCAGTATCACCAGTTCTTCTTACCCAAGGACAGATCTAGAAAGAGGGATTACGGTAAGAAAGACGTACCAGTGGAACCAGTGGTGGCGTTGGTCACAACAGCCCAATTTGGCTGAAAGTTGACCCTACAGCCGCCTTTTGAGCTCACGCACGACTGCAATGCGTAAATTTTGAAAATCGATTGCCATGTCATGCAACATTGGTGATGAGGTTGACGAGGTCCATAGAGGTCCAGTGCGGTCCATATGCATGCATGGAAAGAATAGGGGTCATGCGAAGGGGGGAGGAGCAATAAGGCAATCGGAAGTTGCGTCTCGAGCAAAGAGCAAGGAACAAGCAATTCACGCCTCTTCCGACGAAAGAATTGAAGCGATGCGCTTTGATTTTTCCACTTTCCACCACGAAGAGCTAACGGGTAGGTACGTAAGAGGCGGGCAAGTGAAACAAGAACGCGCAAAAGAGTATTCGTGGCAATTCTTATACAAATCTGCGTCGTTTCGAAGTGACATACCGCGCATTGTTCGTAGCAGGCCGTAACGACGCCGGAGGCGTTCGTGCACGGCGTATTACAGTCGTAGTACTTAATTTTCTTAGAGGAAGTTGCTACGCTGCAGTGTGCTAAGACTGTGAAAATAGCAGCAACCACTAGTACTTGGCTCCTCATCGTGGGGGAAGTAAACGACATGACTTCGAGAGTGGCAGTTGGTGATCAATAAGTCTGATAAAGTTGAATTGCTCGTACGCAGCCTGATAGATGAATTACTGAGAACGCTGAGAATACTAAGGAAAGGCAAAGACCGCTTGTGGTAGACTCAGGTGTTGATGCTAGATATATAGCCAGTCCCAGCCTAGAGAACCTCGCCCTGATGGGTCTCTCCGCGTCGCAACGCAGCGGAGCCGCGGGCAGGAACTACGAAGTCGGCGCTCACCTCATCCTTACGCAAGACTCCTCATCCTTAACCTCCCGTCGAGCCTCGGACCCGTTAAAAACGAGTCAGCTTGCGCAGTGTGGCCCGTGTATGGGTTGTGCAGGCGCTCGGCGGGCAGGAGAAAACTCAGAAAATTCGGCACGACCAACGTCCAAACCAATAATGACGGGTCCATAATGGGCCCTTCCTTGGTTAGCAATGTAGCCTCTGCCTGCCGCATTTGTAGTTGCGTGCCGTGTGAGGCGGTTTTGGAAACAGAAATAATTGTGTGTGAAGGGCGGATGGTTGGAGTTGGAGAGCTGGATGGTTAGGGCGGGTCCAACTTTGCACACTTCCGTTTTTTTTCGTAATTTAAACGTCAATGGTATTGTCAAATTTGACTGTACCCAAAGGTGTACCCCGAACATTCCTTGTCAAGTTAACGAGTGTATACCTGTGCCGACTGACAAGGTATAATATCGATGCAATGTACAGTACCCTGGATGGGGTTATCGGATGTCACAGGTGGTTTGGCGGTAATCTCTCGCGCCTGTGGCGGAGGGGCGAACTCAATGGCGAAAGTCATCTGGCGAAAAATATGAGTTACTGTTTGATGTGTTTGACGCGAATCGAGGTCTGATTTTTTTTTTTCATTATGAATATATCCAAATACACCGAGAGAACAAGCGTATAAGTGATATATATCAGTCGTAACTGAGCGTTAGAGGCCGAACCCCCTAGGTGGCCTCACGGGAGGCTTCTAAGGCGGATGTAGAGCTCCCCTTGCCAGACTCCAAAGCGCGCCGAAACTGTGCGACCATTTCCAACCTTTCACCGTCATGCAACGAATGCGGCCAAGTAAACCGTCCTCCTGCTCCGCCAGCGCATGAGTTCTCCTTTGTCCCTTCGAACCACCACCGCTGCCAAGCTTCTTTCCCATTGCTCGCGTGTACACCTTCACATGCAGCCGAAATGCTGCCTCGATGCGCCTGAGTACCCGCCGGGACCGGAATCTTTTCCCCCGAAACACACAATCAAATCGCTCCGCCCAGATCTGGTGAACAGCGATTGCAGAGAGGGTTGCTTCAGGAAACGCTGAGGCCGATGCTGACTTTCCGAATAACAGGTCCCCCAGGTCCGACACCTGCCTTGCAGGGTTTAGCATGCGCATGGACCGCTTGACCGCCACCACCACCTGCTGAATGCGCGGGCAGCTGAAAAGGCAGTGCTCCAAAGTTTCAAACTCCCCACAGTGCGGGCAGACCGGCCTGCCACTTAGAAAATAGAGCCTCTCCCCTACTTGCAGGTTGAGGCTGTGGATCCTAAGCAACACATCACGCGGCCTGTTCGGTGTCACCAGCGAGTCCCGAACTTTGATAACTTTCTTCCAGTCAATTTCCCCCGACCATCTGCCTGCCCACAGCTCCCGCTTAGCGGATTGACGCTTCTGGCCCTTCCAACATCCCTTCAGCTCCTTCAACGACGCCACTTGCCCATCCTTGAACAGAGCCGATTTCTGAAGGCGGGGAAGTAGGGGCGGAGGCCCCAATTGCTCGGTAGACAGTAGACTCTCCTTCCAGGGCTGTGGCACCGCTTCCCAAGCCCGTAGTGCCAGCTTCGCTTGCTTAGAGCCTCCCAGCTCCCTTGTCAGGGTTTTCACATCCTTGACCTTACGACCCCCCGCACCATCCGGTAGCAGAAGATCACCCAGCCGGAGCTCCCACAGCTTCGCCGCAGCCTTCTGGCCCCCCACCGGAGTCTTGCCGTTGAGCAGGATGTTGCGGTTAAAAACAACTCGCTCCGCCGCAATTTCTTCCTTCGATAGAGCCGGTAGCGAGTCGACCAGCGGCGACTGCATAAAGCTCCCGCAGGCCAGCTTCCACCTCTCACTTTTTCCACGCCAACACTTCAGAAGCTTCACGTGAGCGACAAAGGTGTCAGTCCCCAGCGGCAGGTCCGCCGCTGCGAGCATAATGTCCCGCTTCAGTTCACACGTCTCGGTGAGCAACAGTCCAATGCGCCTGGCAGCAAGACAGGTGAGCTCTATTTCCGGGTCTCTCACCCCCACACCGCCATCAGCTCTAGCTGTATACAGTAGGTCCCGGCTCCACAGTATGAACTTCTTGTCAGTGACCGCGTGATTGCCTGACACGAAGTTGTGCGCCAGCTTCAAAATCCTCCCCCAAATATCCACCGGCGGCGGGTACACCTGCGCCTGGAAGAAGATTATAGGTGAGATGTAGCAGTTGATTACCGCAACCCTAGCACCTGTGGTGAGATGCTGCGTCTCCCATTGTCTCAGCTTATCCTTGATCCGCGCGAAAGCTTTTTCCCAGGTGGGGGCGCAGCTGCCAGCCGGCGTCACCCACACGCCCAGGAGCCTCTCTGCTTCATCCGCCTTCACCCACTTGAAGCCGTCCGTCTTGCATGCCTGTTTGTTCAGGTTACACCCCAGGGGTAAGATGGATGACTTCCCAATGTTCGTTGCTAGCCCCGATTCTGCCTCGAAGTCTGCTAACAGCCGCTCTGCTTCCGCAATCTGCTCTTCACCTTGCAGGATTAAAGCCGTGTCGTCAGCGTACCCCAGATACGCCAGCCGCCGCTCCCCCTTTTCCAAGACCAAGTTTCCTAGCAGCCGCCTGCTGGGCCAGCGGTTCCACTGCGCACAAGAAGAGGTAGGGCGCAAGGGGACAGCCTTGCCGCACCCCGGACACCACGTCAACCGCTTCCCCCATCCAGCCGTTGATTAACAGACTGGTCCGTGTATCCTTGTGCAGGCCCCTAACCCAGTCCACGAGACGGCTCGGAAAACTCATCCGCTCAAGCACCGTGAACAGGAAGGTCCTCGAGACCGAATCGAACGCTTTCCTAAAGTCGACCAGCAGGAGATACCAGTCATGGTCCTTGCTCTTCGCGGCCTCAATAACATCCGCAACCAAGCCCACCGCGTCCGACAGCCTCCTTCCAGGCAAGAAACCGTACTGCTCCGGAGAGATGACCTCATGCAGCACCCTTTTCATCCTATCTGCCACCACCCTCGCAATCACTTTGTAGGTGAAGCTCAAAAGGGTGATCGGTCTGTAATTCTCAAGCTGCTCCCTCCCCCCCTTTTTGTGTAACAGGATGGTAACAGCGTCTTTCGTACTTGTCGGCAGCGTCGCCGTAGCCGCAAAATTGTCTACCAGCTTCATGAAATGCTTGCCCAAGATATCCCAGTGGAACTCAAACAGCTCCTTCGGCAACCCATCTTTCCGTGGAGCCTTGTCCTTCGCCATCGAACGGAAGGCAGCTTTCACTTCCTCCTCCGACCAGGCTGCACACACCGCCTCCGCCGACTCCTGCGACAGAGACCTCCCAGGAGCAGGAGACCAAGCAGACACGGCCTGCTGTCTGTCGCTTCCGAACAGCTCCTTATAATACTGTGACGCCGCCTTTAGGATAGCTTCATTGTCATTTACTAGCAACCCGCATGCGTTTAACTCCGTAATCTGCGTCCGCCCCTTTCTGGCTTTGATCTTTGCCGACAAGTGCGGGGAGGCCACCTCACCCTGTCAAAACATATGCATGTTAGTATCTAGGCTATATTGGGGCTAGCCTTAAGGGGTACAGAAACTCACTCGACACTCTAGTCTTGTACCCCAACCTCCACCTAATCACACATACTCTTCTCATTCTAACATGGCATCAGAAGCCTAGGTTAGGAACCTAGGACCACCTTGTACTAAGGGCCCGCCCTTCCGCTAGCGCCCTCGAGCGCCTTCTTCCTTTCGTGCGCCCTCGCGCGCCTCGTTTCCTGGTCGCGTAGCCCGCTAGACGACCGCGCGCGGCCCCCTTTTTGCCCGCGCGCGGCCTCGTTTTTTGCCCGCTAGCAGCCTGCGCGCGGCCCGAATCGCGTGCGCGACGACCATAGGCCGCTCGCGCGGCTCGATCCGCCCACGAGCAGGTCGCTAGCCGCCCGTCGGCCCGCCCGTAGGGCTTCGCGTCGCCCGTAGGCCGCCGCCCCTGCTTTCGTAGCCGCTGCCTGCGCGCGAGTGCAGCCCACGCCCGACCGCTCGCCCCTAGGACGGCGCTCGTAACGCCGCCGCCCGCCCGCAGGTCGCAGCCCGCGCGCAGTGGCGATCGCGCGTCGGCTGCTGCAGCTCGCGCTTAGCTGCAGCTCGCGCTTAGCTGCAGCTCGTGCTTAGCTGCAGCAGGACCCCAGCCGCGGCCTGCACGCAACTGCAACCCTAGGCGCCGCCGCGCACCGTGCATAGGCCCGCCGTTGCGCTGCCCTACCTGCCCGAGCCGCGCCGCCCTGACTGAGCCTACTGTTTAGGGTTTAGGGTTTTGCAGCACCTACTGTCCCTGTTCCTGCTGTTACAGCTGTTCTTCTCACTACAGTTGTTCCTACTACTGCTCTTACTGCCGCTACTGCCACTATGGCTACACCCACAGTTCTCTCTTTCGATGCTGAGGGCCGTCCGCTCCAGTTTGATGCTTGGCTTGACGATCTCCACCTTTTCCTCCAGATCACCGCTAAGGATGACGTCTCGCTGTATGACCACGCGTCCGGAACCGCTCTCGCACCTGCTGACACTGCTGACAGTACAGCTCGCTCCCAGTGGCAGACTCGTGACGCCCACGCTCGCCTAGCCATTCGCAGCCACCTGCCGTTAGATGAGCGCGCGCACTTTGGCCAGCACAAGACTGCTAAGGAGCTGTACGATGCAGTAGTCGCCCGCTACTCCTCACCTACCTCTGCTACGATAGGCCGTCTCTCTCTGCCCTATCTTTTCCCCGATCTCGCCGCCTTTCCCACAGTCGCTGACCTCATTACACACCTCCGCACCAGTGACACTCGCTTCCGAGCCGCCCTCCCTGCTGAGTTTCTCGCCAAGAACCCCCCACCGATGTACCTCGTTCTCTACCACCTAGTCACCCGTCTCCCTGACTCTCTTCGCGCAGTCAGGGACCACTTTCTCGCCCTCTGCCCTACCGAGCTCACCATTGACCTGCTCGAGAAGCATCTGCTTGCAGCTGAGGCTAGTATAGTTGCTGTAGGTGCCTCTCGTGGCGACCCCCGCACGCCCTTCTTCGACGGGTGTTCCCCTTCCCCCCTTCTCCCCTCGGTTGCCTCTGCTGCCGCTGTCGACTTCCTCGGTGCTGAGGACGTCGGGGCTGCGTCTGCTCCTAGCTGGAGGCGCAAGAGCGGCAAGGGCAAGGGGGGCAAGGGTGGCGGCGGTACCAGTGGGGGAGGTGGGGGTGGCGGTGGAGGTGGAGGCGGTGGGGGTGGTGGCGGTGGTGGGGGTGGTGGCGGGGCTGGGGGGGTCAGTGGCAGCGGCGGAGGTGGCAGCGGCGGGGGTGGCAGCGGCGGGGGTGGTGGCGGCAGTGGTGGTGGGGGAGGCCGGGGTGGAGGTGGTGGTGGTGGCGGCAGTGGGCGTGGTGGCGGCGGCTCGGGTGGTGGTCGGGGTGGACCAGCGCAGCGTGGAGGCTCGGGTGGTGCCCAGCGCCAGCAGCAGCGTCTTGGAGAGACCCCGTCGTCCCAGCAGCTTCGTGAGTGGTACTCTCAGCATGGGGGGTCTGGGGGTGGAGGCACCTGCACGTATGTCATCCGCACCGGTGACCGCGCTGGTCAGACGTGTGGGCGTTTCCACACGCCGCACCGCTGCTTCTTTCGTCTAGACGATGCCTGGCGTGCACAGTTCCCGGAGGCCTCTGAGCTGCCCCGCTGGGCTGATCTGCTTAAAAAGAACATTGATGTATTTGCACTTGACTTTGATGTTATTCTTGGAGCCATGTATGCATTGACTATTAGTGTTGAGGGTGACTGTTACTTGTGTGTGCCACCAGACCCAGGCATTGCGACCAGTGAGGCTGCCGCTCTAGGTGCTAGTGCGTCCGCTGCCCCAGGTCCTGGTGAGACAACTGCTCTAGGTGCAGGTGTGTCTGCTGCCCCAGGTGCTTGTGAGACTGCGCCTTCAGGTACAGCGTCTACTGCGGCACTGCACACCTTCACCCTGGACTCAGGTGCTTCCCGCTGTTTCTTTCGCGACCGCACTGCCCTCGAGCAGCTTCCTAGACCGGTTGCTGTCTCCCTGGCTGACCCCTCCGGGGGTCCGGTTCTTGCGACCTCCTCCACTGTCCTCCCGTGTCCTGCGGTCCCGTCTGGCACCCTGTCAGGTCTTTACCTCCCCTCGTTCTCTACGAACTTGGTGGCGGGCTCTGCTCTACAGGACGGGGGTGTTCACCAGTTCACCCCTGCCTATGAGCGTGTGACCCACTGTACGTGTGCCCGGACGGGTCGCCACCTTGCTACCTTCACTAGGGAGCCGGGGTCGGACTTGTACACACTAACCACTGAGTCCCCTCAGGTCGCTGCGTCTGCGTCTGCGTCAGGTCAGCTGTCGGCCCCCTGCTTGTGTCGCTCCCTGTCCCACCAGACTGTCCTCTGGCACCACCGCCTTGGTCACCCGTCAGTGCAGCGCCTTCGCGGCATGGGTTGCGCATCTGCTCCTGATGCAGCTCCGCCACTACCACTGCCAGATGGGCCGTTGTTTTCTTCACCCTTTTGTTCTCCTCCTTCATATACGCGCGTAACCCAGCATTGAGCCTCCCCAGTAATAACTCGAAGTTCCCAACCCCTTCCTCAGCCGCCTTTGCTAAAGCAGCTTCTACCGCTTTCCGGATACCAGGTCTACCTAGGGCTGCTGCATGCAACCTCCAGATGCCAGGACCCAGGTGAGAAGATGCTTTAATTTTTAAGGCGATTTTTATCCCGAAGCCATGATCTGAAATGTATTCCTCCGGCCGTATGTGTGCAGCTATGTCAAGATGCGGGAGCAGCGAGCAAGAGACTAGCGCCCGGTCGATGCGAGAGCTGGATTGCTTGGAAGCAGCGTAGAAGGTATATTCTCTGAGCTTAGGGTGGAGCGTGCGGAAAGCGTCTGAGAGCTGAAAGCGGTTGCAGCGTGAAATGAGTCTGTCGTTTTCTAAGGAGGTGCCTGATTGAGACGTCCGATCTAAAACTGGGTCCTCTACCATGTTCAGGTCGCCTAGAAGAACTACATGGTCAGTGATGGGGATCTGGTCGAAGGCCGGACCGACTACGTTCATCAAAAAGGAACATCTGTCAGTGGCGTCTGCGGGAAAATAAGCGGCAAGGAGGGTAAGAGTGAAACCAAAACGGCTGGCGGTGGCTACTATCAGTCTCCCTGATGGGTGGGTGCTAGTGTTTGTGAGAAGGACGGAAGGGTCTCTGGTAAGAACGGCTACGCCGCCGGCCTTATCAGTGGGTGGTGTTGTGAGTACCGTGGTGAAGGATGGGGTTTTCCAATAGGTATGATTATCTGGAAGTCTTGTGTCTGTGAGAATGATGATATCCGCTGCTGTTCTAGTCCAAGATGAGACTCTGTCTTGCTTTGTTTTGTCGCCTAGGCCGTTGACATTAAGGCCTGCTAAGGAGAAGAAATTTTTGTTACTCATTTGATAGCTGCCTGGAGGCCCCTGTTCATCCACAGGCCGAAGATGGTGACTACACTGACTACTGCACTCCACCCTACGATCACTAACAGCACACGGTTCTCATTCTGCAGCCTCAGAAGTTGAAATCCTTCTTCAGTCCGGCAAGATTGGTCTTGTCCATGGACGCTTTTGTAGCAGTACCCAGTTTCTCCTGGTTCAGCAGGTGAGTCAAAGAAATGATGTGATCCGCAGCAGCCAGGAAAGTTTTCCCCTTTGCCTTCCCGCAGCACACTTGTGTACAGATCCATTCTTCGCGGTTGCTGCCGGTCGAGACAAGAGCGATGGATGGGTCTTTCAGTATGGGAGTGACAAGAGCGGAGGTGCGCAGAGAAGCAGCTGCGAGCGCAATAAAGATCGTCAGTAAGAGATGAAAGAGGTAAATCTGTGATGTTAAGAAAAAAGCTGATGCAGTTACCATTGATATTATGAGCTTTCCCTAAAGTGAGGTTCCACTTCCCTATATTGTTATGCCGCTCTGTGATGAACAGATCATGATAGATGTCATAATGCTGTCCATTGCAGAGCTGGCAGGACAGTGCAGGGTAGTGGACCAGAAGCTTCTCTCCGGACCCCATCGGGCTGTCAACCACATGGCGCCAGCGATAACGATCCCCAAGATGCTGAACGACCAAGCCTTTGATCACATCGGTATCAGCTCCGGTGAGTGGGTGAGCTACCCGATGGAAAGCAAACCCTTCCTTGAAAGCCGACTGCTTCTTCAGCTTGAAGCGAACAAGCAGGTCCTTCAAAACATCCGGGACAATGTTAGCAGGCACGCGACGGAAAATCACTTCAATAGCGAGCGGACGAGCTGCCTACTCCTTAAGGTACGAAGCATTCTCCGTATGCTGCCAGATACACTTGATCGCCGGAGCATTCGCCTTCTGGTACTAAAAAACATGAAACTTGATGTGGTGCGCATCCCGCTCATCCAGAAAGTAGATCTGGAGTCGGCAGAACCGCGTCTTCGCAACGTAACCAGGTACCATCTCCTGAATGTTAGCCGTCACCCGAGCATTCTCGGTTAAAGATGAGCTCCAGACCTTGGTCATCAGGTTACGCAGTGCAGCAATAATGGCCTTAATCTCCTGAGAAAGCACCATCGGAATGAGTAAGATTGCTGTAAAGCGAAGACTGAAAGCATCTTCCTTGGCAATGTCAATCTCCAGCTCTTCATCTTCATCATCTTCCAGGAACTCGTTGGTCACAGCAATGGGAGCCTGGTTGTCCTGACTCTTCTCTTCCACTGACAGACCAGAACCACCGGCGACAGAAGCAGCAGTAGTAGCCGATTCCTTGACGGATCCGGCGGCGTTATCCGTGACTGCAGGAACATTAACCACGTCGTTCGATCCTTGCTTCTCAGCCCCATCCCCAGCAGGAACCGGCGTGATGATCGGGTCCGTTAGGAGGTCGTCCGGGAGCGTGACATCCGCAGTAGCCTTCATCGTCCGTTTCGGAGGCATGATGCGATGATGAGACTCAGAAAGCAGCCGATAAAGAAATGGCTGAAACCAAAAAGAAGCTGATGCTGCTTGAGGACTGAGCACCACCTCCTTATAAAAGGTCCTTGGAACTCGTGACTTGCTCTCCTGGAGGAAATGATGAACTCCCGAGGTCGTAGCCTTGGGATCATGTCTTGAATAGCGAGCAGATGTGTAGAAGTTACGATTGGTAGTAACATTGCAAAGGCGATGTTCATTGTTAGAGCCTTGGAAACTGCCGATGGTATCAAGAAACCCTTGAGGTTCGTTAGCTTGTAATGTGTTTGCAACACTGAGGTACACCTGAGTAGCCGAGGTTATAATGTCCGCGTAGTAGACATAAAAATTATATCCTCCGCTTCGTAGTGGACTCAGGACCTCGAAAATGGTCTCAGAGTTACGAACTGATAAGTAACCTTCACGAAATAGGTTCTCGAATGTCTGCGGAAGAATCCATGGCCGCCTTGTCGGTGACATGTCTGCATGAGGTGGTTTTGTGCACTGCTGCTTGGCCTGCTTATGCATAAACTGTCTCGAAAAAAATTTTTACATGTGCAAAGCTGGACCCGCCCTTAGGGTGGAGGTGCTTGTCAAGGGTTTGAAACAACCTGCACACGTACGCGCTAAGAGCATTAGCTCTGGAAACAAGCGATACATGCCGTTGGTTGGAACTTGAAAGGACCAGAAATGTCTTAGTAACTGAGAACAGCGGAATGAATTGCATTGATTGAGTTGGGGTACAAGTACCTAACCCTATTTGTTTGTACCCCATATAGTATGACCCACTAAGGGCTATAACATTTGACACACCCCCATAGCCTAAGTGGGGAATGCCAAGTAACAGAACACAACCTAAGGTCACAAGACCAGTCACAAGCAAGCGAGAAAACAAAGCTCAGGGTGGATCTCAACGTCACCACACATTCTGAGCACAAACAAGGGGCCACAAGGCCAGTTCAAGAGTGTACAAGCTAATATATATATGGTACAAACAAGCAAGAGGCAAGAACTCACTACTGCAGTCTACTAGACCCAGTCTCAACAAGGCCTAACTGCAGACAAAACCGGCGGTGGTCACAAGGCTGAAGAGCCTTGGTGAAGATGTCTGCAGTGTTGGCCTCGGAGGCCACGAAGTCCAGACGTGCCTGTCCACGTCTCTGCAACTCTCGAAGGAGGAAGTACCTGACGTCGATATGCTTCACCCTGCTCTCCAGTCGAGGCTCACGACACAGGAGAATCATCGCCTTGTTGTCAGCAAACAAGGTCGGTGCAGAGCTCGGCCGCTCACCAAGGTCAGTGAGCAAGAAGGTCAACCAGCGTAGCTCCTGTGCAGCGAGGGCTCCAGCGTAGATCTCGGCCTCTGCGGTAGAAGTCGCAACAGAGGAGGACCGAGTAGACCTCCACGAAACAGCTCCAGAGCCCAGGCTGAAACAGTAACCCTGTGTAGACCTCTGTGACTCAACGTCGTCGGCGTAGGAGGAGTCGCAGTGACCGGTGAGTACAACTGGCTGTGTCCCTCCAAGTACAAGCCCCATGTCTGATGTCGCGCCGAGGTACTTCGCCACCCTCTTAGCCGCCGCCCAGTGAACAGGACGGTGTCTCCCTGTCGCAACAAAGCGAGAAAGGATGCTAAGAGGGAAGGCGAGGTCCGGGCGAGTGCACGTCATCAGGTACATGAGGCAGCCCACCAACTCTGCGTAGGGACCACTGGGCTCGAACGGCTCGTCAGGAAAAGGCCCAGTGAGTCTGTGGTCTACAGCAAGAGGGGTGGGAGGAGGAGAGGAGTGCTGAAGCCCGAACCGCTGAAGGACCTGCTGCACCATGTGTGACTGAGTCAGAGTGATGGTGCGAGCGGCTCTGTCCCTGGAGATCTGCAGGCCAAGGTAGCGGCGCAGTTCCCCAAGGTCAGTGCAGGTGTGTCTCTTCTGCAGTTCGGACTTCACCTCCGCCAGTGCGACTGTGTCGGCTGTGGCAAAAACCAGGTCGTCAACGTAGACAAGAACAAAGAAAGGTGTGCGCCCACGACGAACAAACAACGACGGGTCGGCGGAAGACGGCTCAAACCCAAGGTCGGACAGAGTAGAGCGGAGAGTGTCGTGCCACTCACGGGGTGCCTGGCGGAGACCGTAGACCGGTCGTCTGAGGCTCCACTGGGTCCCAGGCGGGAAAGTGCCAGTGAAGCCCGGAGGACGACGCAGCCAGATCTCCTCGTGTAGGCTGCCCTGCAAGAAGGCAGTGGAGAAGTCGAGAGAGTGTAGCTCGTAGTCTCTCTGCGCTGCTACGTGCAGTAACACCCGAAGAGTGGTCATCTTCGGGGTGGGCGCAAAGGTCTGAAAGAAGTCAACTCCCTCACGCTGACTGAAACCTCTAGCCACGTAGCGTGCCTTGAAGACTGGAGGAGATCCCGGCGGCCGCTTCACCTTGAAGATCCACATGCCGTCAACAATGTTCGCCCCTTGGGGGGGAACCTCGTCAACGTAAGTGCCTGTGGACCTGTAGGAGGCCATCTCTGCGTCCATGGCAGCTCTCCACTGAGAGGCCCAAGGCCCTGACACTGCCTCAGCGTAAGTGCGAGGAGTAGGTATGTCAGGAGCGTCGGGGTCTCCCTCAGGAGCGAGCAGCATGGCACAGAGATGAGGTGAAGCGGCTGCCAGGAACTCTAGCTCAAACTGTCTATCCTCTAGGACGGCACAGCCAAGGGCAGACTCACCCCCGGCGGACAGAGGACGGACAGGAGGAGCCGCCACAACGCGAGTGGCGTAGTCAAGGCGACGCGTAGCAGTAAAGTCTGTGACAGCGGCAGTGAGGACCGTGACGGAGGAAGGAGAGGCATGAGTGTCTGTAACAAGAGAGGCGAGAACACGAGAGAGAGTGGGGCGGTACGTGCGGTAGTAGTCAGTGACCGGAGTGGACAGGGAGGCAGTGAGGGACGACTCAGGAGGACGAGGAAGAACAGACGGAGGAGAACGAGGAGGACTAGGACGAAACAACACGGTACGAAGGTCACGGACAGGTGACGAGGGACGAGCACGAGGAGGACGAGAGGCCCAAGTGTGGGAGAGAGGAGTGGGAGACGGAGCGGGAGACGGAGGAGACTGAGAACGAGGGAACACAGCCGGAGCTGAGTCCGGAGGAGGAAACGTCGGACCGAACACAGGAGGAGAGGAGGAGGGGAGACCAAGGGCCCGAAGGCCAGTAACAGAGGCCGGAGGCTGCTCCGGCTGCTGCGGCGGCTGCTGCTGCTGCTGCTGCTGCTGCTGCTGCTGCTGCTGCTCCCGCTGCAACTCCAGCCTCTCACGCTCCACCCGCTGCTGAACCTCCAACCTCTCACGCTCCAAACGCTGCTGCTCCTCACGCTCAAGACGAAGACGGGTCTGGTGTCGAGTCAGGTAGGGGTGAGGAGGAGGAGTGGTGTCAGGAGACGAAGAAGAAGAACCGGCTCCGCCCTCGACAGCACCCGGCTGAGAACCCCCAGAGCGTGTACCCCCTGCGGCAGCACGACTAGCACCTGTAGGAGGTGGACCCGCACCCCCAGTCGGGGTGCCTCCAGTGGCACCAGCACCAGCCTCAGACTCTCCAGCTCCAGAAACACCACCAGCTCCAGCACCACCACCAGCTCCAGCACCCTCGGAACGGGCAGCCGCGGCAGGTGCACGCTCAGCGCCAACGCCAACACCCCCAGAACGGGCGGCTCCTGTAGGTGCACGAACAGCTCCAACGCCAGCACCCCCAGAGCGAGCACCGCCAGAGCCCTCACCCCGAGCACCAACACCCTCAGAGTCCGCAGTGGCCGGTAAAGGAAGCGCTGACGGCTGCTGCGGAGGCTGTGAGGACGACTGTGGGGAAGGAGGAGAGACCTGGGGGGGTACCGAGGGGGGGGGAGTAGCGTGGGACACACCAGACGGAGCAGGACCAGGGGGGGGTACCGGAGGAGTAGGGGCGGGAGGAGGAGGTGGTGGAGCCAGGAAGAGGGGGGGGGGGGGGAACCGGGAGACCTCGACAGGGGTACCGGACGTAGTAGGGGACAGACTCGTCGAAACGGACGTCACGAGAGTCAAAGAACCGGTGGGAGGGAGGGTGGTAAAAGGTGAAGTCAGAGGAGTCCTCTGGGAAACCAAGGAAGACACAGGGGACGGCACGAGGCGAGATCTTGTCCGCAGAGGTGTCGCGGACAAGAGCCAAGGTGCCCCAGACACGAAACCTCGACGCAACACCAGGGGACCCTGTCCAAAGACTGGTCGGTGAAGCCCCTGGCCGAGAGACGCGAGGCCAGAGGTTCAACTGGTGAGCGGCGTACCGAGCCGCGTAGGGCCACAGAAAATGGGGCGCGCGGGCGTGGATCATGGAGGTGCGGGCAATCTCCATGACCAGGCCTAAGCGGCGCTCAGCAACCCCATTCTGCTGTGGAGAGTCTGGAAGAGTCCAGGACTGGGTGATGCCCTGCTCAGCACAGAATCTGGCGAGAACGCCGGAGCGAAACTCACCCCCACGGTCGGAGTGGAGACAACTGACACGACGACGGCGAGTACTCTCGGTGGCGAGCAGCCACCGGATCAGCGTAGAAGTCACCTCAGACTTCTTCGCCAAAGGGAACACGGTGGTGTACCGAGAGTAATCGTCAACGACCACCAGAAAGAAACTCTCCCGCTCAGGGCCAAGACGAGGAGCGGGGCCCCAGACGTCTAAGTGGAGTGTCTCGAAGGGCTCGGCGGCCGGACGAAGGGTGGAGGAGTGAGGGGTGGCACGGAGCCGACCCTGGACACAAGGACCGCACGGAGGAGCTGGGGACGGCGGGAGTGGCGGGAGGACTCGGGGGAGGCCTAAGACAAGACGCTGACTGGACATAGCGCGGAGACGAGGGAGGGACGGGTGGCCAAGGCGGTGGTGCTAGAGAAGGGAGGGGTGGGCAAGCGACCGACACGAGCACGACGCAGCAACGGGACCGGACACAGCAACCTGACTGGACTCGGCTACCTGGTGGG